AAAAAATTAAAAAATACTAATAAAATTGATTTATTTTTTATTAATTTTATTAAAAATAATTATTAAACTTAAAAAAGCTTTTTACAGTAATTTTCTAAAAATAAATAATGATTAAAAGTTTTAATTCATCTCTAAAAATTTTTATTTAATACAAAACTAACATTAATAATACTTGTGTGTTTTTGTTTAAAAGTTAAAAGAAAATACCATTTATTCATTTAAATTTTCATTTTCTAATTGATTAGAAGGAACTATTAATTCTGTAACTGTTTTATCAAATGTTACTTTTTTACTTCTTTCTTGATTATTTGTTTCTATAAATGATTCTTTTAGTATTTTATATTGTGATTTTATTTCATTTAAATCATTTTTTACTTGATTATGTTCTTCAATAACTTTCTCTATTTTTTTAACAAGTTTTTTATAATTAGATTTTAAATCATTTATTTCTTCTTTATTTATCATTTCTTCTTTATTAAAATTTTCATTTATTTCTTTATTAATATTTTTATTAATTTCTTCTTTATTTATTTCTTTATTAATATTTTTATTAATTTCTTCTTCATTTATATCTTTAATAATATCTTTTTCTAAATTATAAATTTTAATTACATTTTCTTCATTTTTTAATTCTTCACTAATTCTATTATTATTTTTAGTATTCAATCTTATAAACTTTTCTTTTACTGTATTTAAATCATTAACATCGGTACTTAAATTCTCTTCCTTTATCTTCTCGAAATACTTAACTCTTTCCAGTACACTTATCTTTTCAAAATTCAAATTACCTTTATTTATCATAATTATTTTATGCTTATTTTATTTATAAATAAATAATAAATAATTTTAATGCATCAATTTACTTTTAAATAAACCTTCGACATATTTGATAACTACTTTTATAAAGTTACTTTTATTGACTTTTCTTTAAATCAGTTAAATTAAAATAAACAAACAATCAAATCTATTAATAATAAACATCCTTTTAATAATAAATGATCGTTGTTGATTTACAAAAAGATTTTATAATCTTTTTTACACTTACCCTATTAGAAAAAGTATTTGGTGATCACCTGTTAAAACAAAATGAACTACCCTCTTTAATTGTACTTTTATCATCATTATTATTTTTAATTATTTCGTTTTTTAAATCAACAAGAGTAATATACTTTAAAATAAAGTGGATTATCTTAATATCTGCTTTATTAACATACGATAGCTTTATTAAGACGTATATTAATTTAGCTAGCACATCAAATTTAAAAGAAATTGTAATGGAAAATGTTTATTTAATAGCCGTTAATATACTCAATGCTAGAGTTACTGGTATTGTTTTCCTACCTAAACAAAATTATGCTATGGTTTGTATTGTTGTTTTTGGAATAATTCAAATATCATATCCTTACTTTAAGTATGATTTTATTGATTTACATCCGAGGGATTTTTTTAACTTTTTAGGAACATTAGGTGGGGCAGTTGGTTTAATAATTTTTAAAGAAAAAGTTGAAAGAAAAGTAAAATCAGTTTGGAATTATACTTTAACACTTTCATTATATAATAGTATATTTGCAGGGTTAATATATGCATTTGATATTGTCGTTGTTAAAAAAGGATTAGTATTTAATATCTCACTCTCAGAAACATTCGTTGTTTTATTTTTATCAGGCTTAAGTGATCTTTATTTTAATAGATTAACATTTTCAGTTCAACCGTATGTTTTATTAACTTCATTAAGATTGGTTAATTTTATAAATTCATTGTTATCTGATTTAATTAATCAAAATTCTCTAGATATATTTTCATTTATACTTGCAGTTTTAAGCACAATTGCATCTCAAGCTATTTTATATTATGATGAAGAAAATAGTTTCTTTTAAATAAACAATTTTGAATTTTCTTAGAAAATTTTTTAACCAAAAAGTCTTTCTTAGAAAAAAATTTATAAAAAGAATTTTGTAAATTTTAGAGGGGTAATGACACAAGATTCAAAGGGTTTTTATAAGATTTTAGATTTAGAACCAGGATGTCCTTATACTGATGTAAGAAAAGCATATAACGTAAAAATGAGGGAATATCATCAACAAGGAAGATTGACAAAAGAAATTAATAACAATCCTAATTTATCAGCAGAGGAAAAGAAAACTAAGTTAGATGAAGTAAAGAAGAAGATGGAAGAAATTAACAATGCATACAATGTATTGGGAAATGAAGAAAAGAAAAAACAGTATGATTCTGGAACAGGAGAATTTGCAGAGAATCCATTTGGAGGAAGTGGAGGATTTCATGGAGGATTTGATGTTAATGATATTTTTAATATGTTCGGACAGGGAGGATTTAGTTCAAGAAGATCAGGATCATCTAGAAAATCTAAGATTTCAGACACAAAAACTAACGTATCAATTAGTATGAAAGAAGCATTTCTTGGTAAAAAGTCTAAGTTTAGAATAAATGTGGATAGATTATGTGATAGTTGTAACGGTAAAGGAAGTAGCAAAGTAAAACAATGTTCAACATGTAAAGGACATGGTAGATTAATTCAACAAAGACAAGTAGGATTTATGGTAACAGAAACAGAAGTTGAATGTGAGAAGTGTGTAGGTTCAGGGTCGATTCCGGATGGACCAACATGTAAAAAGTGTAATGGAGTTAAAATAATTAAAGATAAAAGTGTTGTTGAATTAACAATTAGACCAGGAATAGTTAATGGAGAAAAGATTACTATGAGAGGTAAAGGAAATCAAGCACCGGGAAGAGTTTCTGGGGATTTAGTATTCGTTATTACAGTTAAAGATCAACCTGGGTATGTTAGGGTTAATAATGATATTATTCACACCGTTAATATTGATTTACTGACTGCTATAACAGGAGGTGTTATTTCATTTGAACATATTGATGGAAGAAAGTTAAGTGTAAATTTATCACCAATGACTGATTTAAATTCTTCTATTAAAATTTACTATCAAGGATTTAATGATTCAAGAGGTGGTAAGGGAGATTTCTATATTAAGCCAAATATTTTAGTAAATAAGAATCTTAATAAAGAAGAAGTATCTAAGGTTATTAAACCATTAGTTTATAATGTTAATGAGGGTATTAATGTTAATAGTCAGTACTGTTCTAAATTACCAGAAGATCATACATCATCAAATGGAAGTAGACAACAATTTGATTCAGAAGAAGATTATATGGGAAATCAACAAGATTTTATTGGCTCAATGTTTAGTGGATTTGGAAGAGGATTTTAAATAAAAAAATTTAATTTAATTTTATTGAAGAAATTAAAAATCTTTAAAAACTAAATTATAATTTGTTTGAAAGTTTTTTAACCCATAAAATGGCAAAGGAAGAATTAAATAATTTAATTGAAGAAGAATTTAAAATATGGAAAGTTAACATTCCATATCTTTATGATCTGGTATTTACATCAGCATTAGAGTGGCCCAGTCCAACCGTTCAATGGTTCCCTGACTTACAAAGACATACAAATAATACCGTTTCACAAAAAATTCTTTTAACAACGTATACCGGTGGTAGTGGAGAAGAAAAGTTAATAATTTCTAATATTAAATTCCCTGACACTGTTAAAAATGAGTCATTAGTTAGTGGTAATATTTCACTTAACGTTCAACAAACAATTCCTGTTTTTGATAACGAAATTAACAGAGCGAGGTTTTGTCCACAATCTCCAAGTATTGTGGCTTGTAAGACTGAATCAGCTGATTTATTAATTTATGACACATCTAAACACCCGTATGATGATCCAGTTGGTAAACCAGACGGTGTTTTAAAAGGTCATCAGGATGGAGGATATGCTGTGAGTTGGAATACAAAAGAATTTGGAGAATTAATTAGTGGGGGTAGAGATAAGAGAGTTTGTGTATTTAATATTAATAATGGACTAGTTAATACCTACAATGAGATTCATTCAAGTATTGTAAATGATTTGTGTTTCTCATGTTTTAATCCAAAAGTATTTATTTCTGGTGCAGAAGATGGATCAATTAGAATTGTTGATATGAGAAATTCTGAACATACTTCTTTAATTAGTAGTGCACATTCTGGAACAATTGAGTGTGTTGATTTTTCACCTTTTAAAGCTGAATTATTTGCTTCTGGATCATCAGATAAGTCAATAAAGATTTGGGATACTAGAAGTTTGAAAGAACCTTTAGTTACTCTTTGTGGACATGTTGATGATGTTTTAAGTGTTAAATGGTCACCTCATTATGAATCAATATTAGGAACTTCTTCTAAAGATAGAAGAGTTAATATTTGGGATCTTAATAAATCTGATGAACAGGTGGAAAATGAGAGTCAAGAATTACTTTTTATTCACGGAGGTCATACAAGTACTGTCGGTGATTTTAGTTGGAATCCTTGTGAGCCAATGGAGATATGTTCAGTTGCAGATGATAATATTTTACATGTTTGGAAAATACCAGTTAATGATTATATTTAAAATTATTTCAATTATTTTTGTTTATTTTTATTAAATTTTTAATTATACTTTATTAAAATTTTTTTGTTCATTTAAACTTTAAAATATTAGTTTCTATTTTAGTTTTAAAATTTATATTGATCAAATCAATAAATCAGACTATTTAAGTATTTTTTTGTTTTCAACCCATGAATATTCTAACAAAGAAGAGTCAAAGTTATTTTGCTGAATTTTTGTGTACTTCAATATTTGGTTATTGTGTTTATTCTGCTGTTGCAAGCAGTAAAATAGATTCATATTTATCAAGTACTGCTGTTGGATTAACTGTTGGGTTTTCAGGTATTGTGTTGATTTATACATTTGTGGATCTTACAGTTGCTCATTTTAATCCTGCGATTACATTAGCTGCTATTTGTTTTAATAAGCTAGATGTGATTGATGGTTTGGTTTACATTTTGATGCAAGTTCTTGGATTTATTTTTGCTGCTTTATTAATTATTCTATCATTTCCTGAAAATGATGAAAGTGTTCTAAATTACATTCAAACATTGAGAGTTTCTAAAGAAGTTAATAATTTGAATTTGTTTGTTGTTGAAGCAATATTAACATTCATTTTGGTATTTGTAGCATTTTCAGTTGCAATTAATTCTAAACGTGATAGTGACAAATCACTTTATGGTGATGAGGAATTACCAGATAGATCAATTGTGGCTCCTTTGACAATTGGATTAACACTGGCATTTTTAGCCTTTGTTGCACCAACTACTTCTGGTGGTTTATTTAACCCAGGATTGGCATTTGCACCTAGTATTTTGATTGGTGATTTTGAAGATGTATATGTTTATATAATTGCAGAGTTTTTAGGTGGTATAATAGGCGGTTTCTTACAAGTATTTGTATTTTATAAATAAAATTCTTATAGTAATAATTTAAAAAAACTTTTAATAAAATAATTTACTTACTAATTTTCCTTAAATATTGATAAAAAAAGTTTAACTAATTATTATAAAATTTAATTAAAAAGTCACATCATCAATTTATGCTGATTTAACAATAAAAGTTTTTAATGAAAATTACTATGAAGGTTAAGAATTAATAAATGTAAAATTGAGATTGTTAATTCTATAAATTTTATTTCATTTTGTTTTAAATTAATAGTGATAATTTGGTAATCAACAGAAAATAAATACTATTATAGTATTTACGTATCTTTTAATAAGAAATAATTCTTAAAAGAATTTTAAACATAAAAAATTCTATAATAAATAATTATGATAACTACAATCAAATAAATCTTACTTCATAATTTAAGTTTTAAAATCTTTAGAGTGCTAATAATAGAATTTACTTAAAAATCTGATTTTTTAATTTTTAAGTTGAAAATTTATTAAAAATTTAAAGCCCTTCGTCATTATGCGTGGATCTGAACTAAACAAGCAAATATTGAGTAATAATGGCTATAAATTAAAACAAATGTTTCTTTTATTAACTCTATTTAATCTTATAATGGCTGTGTTATATAATAGAAAGAGAAAAGTAAAGTTATTTGTATTTTTAACAATTTTAGAGAATCTTATCTTCTTCTGTATTTATAATTCAGTCAAACCAGTAATTGGAAGAGAGAATGGTGCCTATAGAATTGAATTTATCAGAGATATTAACTCAAAGGGATTTGTGGCATTTATAAGAGATATTCTCAGATACTTATATATTATGAAAGTTCATTGTTATTTTTTTAATTATGGTTACATATGGTTATTAGGAATTATTGCTTCTGGTTATTATGAGTTTGTTTATTATCCATTTTATCGTTCTAATCATCAAAATAGTAAATTAAAAACAAAATCAGTTAAAAATAAATAATAAAATTTAGTTTATTATCTGTTATAGCAGTCTGTAAAAATATATTTATATAAAAATATTATACCAAGTGTAACCATCATAATTAACATTTACTCCTTTTACTGTTAAATATTTAATAAAATTCAACCAATTAAAACAATTCATTTTAGAAATTATTTTTTAAAATTTAAAACTCCTTTAAAATTAAATGGATAATAAATTCCAAAAAAGGAAATGTTGTAATTACATGTTAATACTTGCAGTAATTATATTTTTAATGATTATTTACGTAATAGCTATGAACAAATTAATTTATATGTTGATTTATAATAAAGGTATTGTTCCAAGTTATGGTGATATTGAAGGAAAGAAAAAAGAAAATCTTATAAAATCTTATAGAGAAAAAAATGCTGGTATTGATATTCTTAAAGGTGAAAACTACAACGTTATTGTTGTTATAAATAA